CATAAAGTCAAGGATTTCCCAATGAGAGGGTTATATGTTGGTCACTCACAGGAGTGACAACTATCTCCTCTGCCCATAGGATGCACAGGAGTATCAATGCTGCAGAAGAGACATAGATAATGCTGGGGGTGTGCCAGCAAAGGCAACCTTGTTAATTACTGACTTTGGATGGTGATGGTCCTTCCCTGGCCTCATAGAATCCTCAAAGCAATCATGGGAGGTAGGAATTATCTTCATTTCACACACTAGGACCTGAGGCAATGCATCTGCAGGGTCTGAGACGCAGGCTGAGGAACAGGTTAGGATGCATGGCAAATAATTTTCTGACTCATGGCAGCATTAGTCAGAGTTCTTGCCAAACAGCTTCAACAACTTCATGGTTTATTATCTTCAAAGCCTCTGACTCTTTTTCTTCCCCAAACACTCTTTCAGGATGACTGCAGTCTGCATCTCCAGAACTGTGAGGTTCTTAAGACCGCAAATAACTTTCTTATTTGCAGCCACCTGTATTAATTTTCTTAGTTAACATGAGAATGGGAGAGGAAAGGGAAGAAGGAAGATGGGTGAGCGGGAGAGGAGTGAGAGATAGGAAGGACCCCAGAGGACAAGCCCAGGACTAGCTGTTGAAGAGTGTGAGGCCCCCTCAGTGGGTGCTGCTGAAATGGACCTTGGACCCTGTTCCCCTCTGATGGCAGCTTATGGAGTCTTCCCAGCTCATTTTGATTTGGAGTCAAAATCCTTCCAGTGACCTACAGGGATCATTGTGGTCCATAGAGCATAACAGGCCTCTCTGCCTCAGGACCTTGGCACTGGACAGGCCTCTCCCTAGATTCCTACTCTTTCCTTAAGTCTCTACAGGGCTCACTCTTCATGTTCCTCAGAGCCATTCAGTTCAGTTCAGTTCAGTCGCTCAGTCGTGTCCGACTCTTTGCGACCCCATGGACTGCAGCANGGGGCCAGGGGGAGCTGGGTGGGGTCAGGCCGGGCAACCCAGACTGCTGGTCTCTCTGAGGCTGAGCAGGACGGGGAGACCTCCAGGTGGGTCCCACAGGAAGACAGGGGGAGGTTCAGACCTGAGAAGGAAGGTGAAGCAGATCAATGCCCACACAGGGGTCTCGTTACTGCCAGGCAGACTGGAGTGGGTCTGCTCCATCCAGAAAATGAGACCAACAGCTCTGGTCCCTGACCATGAAGGCTGCTGTTTAATGGGTACAGAGCTTCTGTTCTGCATGATAAAATGTCCAGAAATAGGTACAGGTGAGGGCTCATATCTTTGTATTCAATGTATTCATATCTTTGTATTTAATGCCACTGAGTTTTTCACTTAAAAAGTTAAATAAGTTTCATGTCCTATATGTTGTTGTTGTTGTTCAGCCACCCAGTTGTGTACAACTCTGCAACCCCATGGACTGCAGCACGCCAGGCTTCCCTGTCCTTCAACATCTCCCGAAGTTTGCCCAAGTTCATGTCCATTGCATCGGTGATGCCATCCAGCCATCTCATTCTCTGATGTTCTCTTCTCCTTCTGCCCTCAATCTTTCTCAGCATCAGGGACTTTTCCAATGAGTCCGCTGTTTGCATCAGATGACCAAAATACTGGAGATTCAGCTTCAGCATCAGTCCTTCCAACGAGTATTCAAGGTTCATTTCCCTTAAGATTGACTGGTTTGGTGTCCTTGCTGTCCAAGGGACTTTCAGGAGTTTTCTCCAGTACCACAGTTGAAAGGCATCAATTCTTTGGTGTTCTGCTATCTTTTTTTTCCAGTCCAGTTCTCACAACCATAGGTGGCCACTGGAAAGACCATAGCCTTAATTATATGGACCTTTGTCGGCAGAGAAATGTCTCTGCTTTTCAACACACTGTCTAGGTTTGTCATAGCTTTCCTGCCAAGAAGCAATTGTCTTCTGAT